CTACACCGATTTCAGCATAGGAAGTGAGAGTTACCAGTTCTCATGACTTCTAATGGTCATAAAAGTGATATTTCCATTTCCTAATCAAAATCTAAAAATTTAAGAGACAATCACCAACAAAACAATAGCATAGACTTTTCAGTCTCCCCCATGTCCTTACTATAAGGAGATTATAATCCATTTCTAGCTATCAAGCTTAACTAGGCCACCTATATTCCCGAAACAACTTCTCAGCCTGCCTCTAGACGAGAATAACCAAAGCTTTCTAATTTTCCTTGCCATGCTTATTAATGTATTTTGCTTCAGTCCCTTTCCTAATTGGCAGTGATCTGACTGGGGCGGGACCGACAGCAGCAGGGAGTGGGGTGGCTGGTGGGCTGGCAGCTTGTGTCTGATCAGCATGAGCTGCCCTGTGCCAAAGCCACTTCTGGGATGCCAGGTGTGCCTCCTGTTAGCGCTCCGTCATCCATGCCTTGTGGAGGATAGGGATTTGGAACGAGTTTTTGCCCTGCACAGGCTGTCTGGTTTCCTAGCCTGCTACTACCCAGGCATTCTGCTCCCGCTAGTTTCCAATTAAAGCCATCTATGTCTCCTTCTAAGGCTACCCCAATTCTTTAGCCTGGACAAGCTGATGCTGCACTCATATGGCTCTCTGATTTTCTCCCTTTTTGCATTGGTTTGTTTTGCCCAGCTCTTCCGGAATGCCCTTTCCAATCTCTGCGTGCTCTGATCCATGGGCTGGCTGCAAATTCAGAAGTTCACAGGGACAAGGTAGGAACGATAAATGGGCAAGGTGGGTGAGCAACAGGGTGTGAAAATGTCTGTGGCAAACTAGACATTACATGTCTGAAGGGGACTGCTGCTATTCAGTCCCAGTCGAGGGCCACCAATGCAAGAACATGAACCCCTGTTTTACCAAATCTTCTGATTTTTCAAGTGTCTTTTTTTTACTCAATGGAAAATATTATATATACACAGACACTAATGCACACACATTCGTGTGTTTGTAATCTGTTTCGCTAGCTAGACAGCTAGCTATCATCATCCTTCAGGTCCCATGTAACTGGTATTCAAGAGCTAGTCAGATAAAGTAAAAGTAAGAAGTTGTCACATATAGGATTGTAGAACTGGAGATTATAAGCCCAGGCTAAAGGAATTTGAATTCAAAAGAGAAACACACACTAATGCACACCACTTGGATCCATAGTACATTCTACGGTATCCTTGACTCTCGGGAAACACTCAAACTTGCTGTTGAATAAATAAAGTTATATATTTACTTTAAGAAACCCTTTACACATACTGTTTCGTGGATGCCCTTGGCATCCCTACGAGGTCTACAGACACTATGTTTTACTTCTATTTACAGTGGAGAAAGTTTAGAGAGGTTACACAGTTTGCTCGAGACGGAAGTGGAGCAAGAACCGGACACAAGCTCCTTTGCGACATTATTTCAACCATGTAGTAAGTGCTCAATTGTGTTAGCTGTTTCATTATTAAAGGAAACACTTTAGTTCAGATCATAACCATCTCTTTAGTAAACTACAATAATGTCAATTTTAAGGAATTTTCTGCCCCCAAAATGACTGGTTTCTCAAAAGTAGTAACAGTATTCTATTTCTTCTACTGATTTCCTGACCACTTACAATACATAGCTGTGTCTCATACAACAGGTACCTACACCCACTTCCTGCATAACTTTCCAGAATTATATGAAGAAGTATGTTTTCCACTCGCCAATGACACTGAAACAAGGTATTTCTAACTTTAAGTAACTTGTTGGATATGCTGGGAGGGAGAAGGAATGCTCCAGGGTAGAACTAAATATTAAGACTTACCAGGAATTTGACAATGAGGAGGGAGAGAGGACAACGGGAAGGTAAGAACAGGAGAAAGCAGGTAGAATAGTAAAGACGATGTCAATGAAGGTGGCAGGTATATTGACAACTTAGAATGATAATCTGATAATTAGACATTTAATATTTGGTTTTATATGTACTGTATATATAATAAAGTGAATTATCAAAACAGAAGGTGGTTTTGGGAACCCCCAAAACTTAACAGCATCAGAATGATGGACTGTATTCCCTCTAAACTTTACAGTTGGCTAATCTATAGCAATGGAAAATTTTTTGGTGTACGCTTTTTGTCTATATAGATTTGGTCTTGCTAACTTAACTCCTGTTGAACTAATTAATGTATGTATGAATCTATCGCCTGTCTTAAAAAGGAGATATTAAAGTATGCAACATGCCTAGAATGTGTCTTGTCATAAAGTAGCTCCTCTGTTGTTCATAGTTTCATGTTAACAACATATTAATAATGACCCACCTGTCTCTCCAGCTACCTCAATCTTTCTCTTCTTCCAAATTTGGTATATACTCAGCTTCTTCCCTTTCCCTTGCATGCCCATTTCAATCTGATTTTACTCTCTAAAGCAACTTTTCTCACTTAATTCATTAGCATCAGTAACCTTTGACTAGTCAAATTCACTCAACGTGTTTTAGTCTTCTCTGCATGTATCTGAATCTATATAACTGAAATGGTTCTGTGTATTTGCATGATATTAAAATTCTCTCTTCCTTTTAGAACATTGCTGTCTCGTTTCCCTCATAATTTTCTGATCATGCCAATTAGTTCCTTGGTATTCTACAATTTTAATATTTTTTTAAGGATCCTGTCCTTTCATTTTATATTCACCCATATTCACCCTTTTAATTTATCTGGGAGATAAGTTCTAGATTTTAAAGTTCTATTATCTAGTTATGATTGCCATATTTATCAACACTTTCTTTTGGCCTACTAGACAAAGAACTTCAAAAATCCACATAACTCAAACTAATTCATTTTTCCTGCTTTTCCACTCTCTTCCTTTTATTACTACGTTATCCACTTAAAAACTAAAATTATCCTAAATTATTCCTTTTTCTGTAGTTGCTATGTATGTTCATCAAATCCATTGGTTCTCTTCCCCAAATATCCTTCCTATTCTTTTGAGAACCCTTCTAGTAGCCTCATAACTTTCCTCCCTGGCTCAGGTAATTTCTATCTTCCAATTCATCCTGTGCAAAAATGCCGTATCTTTCTAAGGTACAAATAGGTTCAGATTAATAGCTTTAGTTAGGCAAAATAAGTAAGTTCCACAGATCTACCATACAGCATAGTGCTTATGGCTAACAACACTGTAGTATACTTAAGTATCTTTATCCACACATCCCCACCCACCCCAATACTAATAAAGGGGGTGACAGGGAAGTTTGGGAGGGGACTGGATATGTCTGTGGCATTGACAGTGGTAATGGTTTCACATACTCATCGACTTGTATACATTAAATATAGATTCTTACATGTCATACTTCAATTATATATAGCATTTATTAAATGCCAGGCATTGTTTTGAGAGCTTTGCACATATAGTGGCTTTGCTATATAGACTATATAGCATAAAGGTACATTTTAGTAACATGGCCTAAAAGGCCCTTCTCATTGTGAACCAAAATAAAATCTTAAGCCCCCCTGGCTGACTGAATGGGCCTCCTCTTGGCCAAGGGGACCCCCCCCCAGAAAAACCTTGAAGCTGAGTTGCTGGCCACGAGGAGGTCAGACACTTCTCATAATGTCCCTCTCCCCTTTTGGAGATATTTTTTGAAACAATAAGATACCAGACAATTAACAGGCCTAAGGCCATGCAAGGCAAAGTTAAAGCACATCTGCAGGCCATCAATTTACTTGACAGATCTCTTGAGTTTAGGTAAATGTCCAGTGACTGATTAACAGACATCTTTACCTTCAATTAAAACATGCCAAGCCTTGAGACAAAGCTTCATTGGTTTCACCAATTACAAGTCAAAGAATCTTTAACCCACCTGTAAGGCCCTACTTCAAGATGTCCTGCCTTTTCAGGCCAAACCAATGTACGCACTCCACGTATTGACGTAGGATCTTAGGTGTAACTCCTTTTTAAATTATTTTACACAGTTTGGGTTTTTTTTTTTTCCATTAACATCATGTAGGCCTCTAATGCTATTTCTATCTGTATTTCCAAACAGCTCCTCATCACTGAACATACCATGCTCTTCCATCCCTCAATCTACCCTTTTGGGCTAAGATGGGTCTGAGAAACTTTTGTCTAGTCTTGTATCAAATGTTAAAAATGTTAACTCGGCTATTTGCTCAATTAGTTCTAGAGAGGATGCACGCTGATATTTTCTGTGACAACTTGTATCTGTCTCTTTCTTGTGCTGTCATTCTTTCTGCTGCCGTCGACTATACTACACTAATTGAATGCAAGGGCTGTATTTTATTTGTTTTTGCATCTCTAGGGCCTATTGTAATACCTGACAGAGTAGGTTCTAAATTCAGTGAGTGGTCCAAACACACAAAAGTAACCTACTTTATTACAAAATGTGTTCAGACTAATTCATGTATCCAAAAAGCAGTAATAAAACTCAAGAAAATAAACTTCATTATTAAATACAATAATGGAATGAACAACACACCTCTCTCTTTCTCCCTCTCTCTCATTTAAAGTACTAAGATCATCTTTCTTCATCTCGAAACAAAACCAAAATAAACACAGAAAGCCTGGAAAAATGGTATTCCATACTCCAAATTTAAAAATTCCCCTGCCTGCTTCTAATCATGAAAATCAAACACCCTAATGGAAGTGAATGAGGTCTTCCTCCCTCTGTCTGTTCTTCATCTAAACACAGAAAACCTAGAAATATGATAGTTATACTGTAAATTAAAACCTTTAAGAAAACTCTCCTTCTACTAACATGGAGAAAAATGTTGATGAGACATATTTAACAGAAAGAAAATGGGATGTATTTCCAGAATAGTTAAGGACCGCTTATATTCCTTATTAACAAAGTGACACTATGTTACCTCTCTGGGCCTCAGTTTCCTCATCTGTAAGGTAAAAACAATCCTCCCTGTCCACATACCATAAAATATTGGCGTGAGGATCAGCAGAGATAATGCTTTTGAGAGTACGTTACGAAACGCGACGTGCTGTACGACAGCACGAATCCACTCACCAAACACAGTCCTCGCAGGCACAGACTCTCTGTTGAGCCAGAACGACACTTGGGAGAGAATGACAGTCATGATGCAAGGCAGGTACGTCTGAATCACAAAATACCCGATTTTTCTTTTCAAGTGGAAATGAGCTGTCATTACGGTATATTCACCTGGAAGAAAAATTTAAGAAGCTTAAGAAACTGTTACAGTCAACAGTTAGAACATTTTAGAAACAGAAGAGATTAGATACAGAACAGACCCTGATTTTTTAAAAAAGAATTTATCACATACAATCTCACGACACTTACATTACCTTTAAATGCTTCATTAGCAAGAGTATTTAAAAAAACGTATCAAGAGACTTGCAGTGCACGTCCCATGATATGGTACAGGCTGAATAACTCTTATCCAAAATTCTCAGGACCAAAAGTGTTTCAGATTTTGGATTTATTTTAGATTTTGGAATATTAGCAGCATCCCTAATTCTAAAATCTGAAACCTGAAATGCTACAATGAGGATTTCCTTTGAGTGTCATGTCAGCACTCAAAAAGTTTCAGATTTTGGGATTCGAGATGCTCAACCTGTATTAGTTTTTTTTTTTTTCCCTTGGCCAACCTGCTGACCAAGGGAATTCAAGTTGATAAATCCTATCTGTCTGTGGATTATTTTACTTGCTGAGGACCCTCATTCCCCCTGGCATCAACCTCCAGTGCCTGTTCTGATCGTTCTGGCTCTTCAGCATGCCGACTGCCGGCCACATCTCCAAGACCGGTCTTCCCGCCCACTTTTCACCCCACTGTCAACACCGAATTTCTCATTGTCATCTGTTCTAATTTGCTTCAGTCACTTCTGTCTTATCTCCATCCCTACCACCTTTCTGCTCCCTGGAATTTAATTATTTCCAGATAGAAGATAATTAGTCCACGCAGCTTTTTTTTTTTCCTTAAGATGAGGGTGGCCCTTAAAGAGGCAATCAGCTTTCCGAACATGCCAGTAGCAATTACCCAAAAATCTACAGTCAAATAATCATAAATTATCCAGAGTACGGGGAAAAGAATTAGAAAACTAGGGAAATTGTCACTTGTTTGAAGGTAAATGTTGAAATTGGCCTGAGAAGACACACACTTTTTGAATACACAGTATATTTCTCAAACTTTAATGGGAATATGAATTTCCCTGGAATCTCGTTAAAATGCAAACCCTTCTTTAGTAAGGGTTGGGGTCTAAGATTCTGCATGTCTAAAAGCTCCCAAGCACAATCTATGCTGCTGTTTTTTGGACCTTAAGAGCAAAAGTTTTTAAGCAATCTGACACATTTCCAATCACTTTAACCCGTTAATATTCTCAGGCACTGTCTTTTCTCCAGACTCGTTTTACTAACCTGTACTGGATTTAATTGTCTCCTTCCCAACTGATTGGCCCAGCAGGTCGTATTGATTTAACCTGGAGCCGTCGGGCGCAACCTCTACCGAATCAGACGCGTTGTAAGTCCAAATGTAAGTGACCTCTGAGGTCGTATACGCATCTGCAGGAAATCAGAAAATTTAAGCACTTTAGTAAGAATCAATAAACTGCTACCTCAAAAAAGTTGTGTATTTCACAGAATTACTGTTTACTGAAAAAATTTAATACTTAAAGATCACATTTCTAGGGCAAAAATATGCACTTTGAATTTATTTGAATATGAGGGATGTGAAACAAACAAAGATAATCATGACCAGGAACGGATTTTCACTGCAACCACTTTATATTAAATATCTCTTTAGAGTCTGCAAAAGTCACTGGGCCTTGAGATGGTTAGAACATCGCCTTTAGTCTCACGGTGGCACAGGAAGATATCGTGGCAAACAGGTCCCGAATGCCCAAAGTCCAGTTAAACGGTCTGTTCAGAAATCGCTCACAAAATAAAAATCATAATCCAAAATTACATTGCTTTTTGGACATAAAAGTACCCTAGTTAAGAGTTAAATGTCTTAGCTATCATGACATTTCATTAGACGAAAAAAACGATTATTGCAGAACATGTAAAATAAATTAGATCAGTATAGTTGTATCAAGTTGCAAATCCTTTTAGAATCTGTTTATTTTTTATATTAATCACTGCACACAGAGCATACCAGTTAAATTGTGGACTGGCAGGAAGAGGCAAAACACATACAGACAAGAAATAACTCCCTGATTTATTGGCCAAGGATGCAGAACTTAGCAGAAGTGAAATTGTAAGGTTTGCTCCAGGCGGGAACCCGAGAAGTACGTATAGGACAGAATGTGGTTAATGCAAAAACTTAGATTTACAACATCTAGGGATTCTCTAGACTCCTGTGGCTATTGTTTTACAAATCTGACAGACAGCTGCAGCCAGCATTCCTTTCCAGACCCACACAGGGACAAAGTTTACCCCTCCCCATAAGGAGGGCTGGGTCAGGGTCCTTAGGAGCTGGTTGTTTGAAAAAGAATTAATTACAAGCAGCTGTTCTGGCCCAGTTACTTACTCCCCTCCCCGCCACCGCCACCGCCGAGAAACCCTCTGTAAAACCCAAGGCCTCCCCTTTTCTCTCCTGGATGCTCTTTGGCCTCCACCCATCTGCACCCAGATGCTCAAAATAAACAGCATTTTGCTACACGAGGCTTCGTGTGTCTCTCTCTCAGCTCCGAACCTAACAGAAATGACTTCAGAGCTGGTGCACAGGTGACATATCTAGGCTTAGCCTCTCCCTGGCACCGGCACGTCCCCTGTATGTCCCGTTGGGGAACAGCCGGCTTCTCCACGCAGGCAGAGTCCCTCCACACTTGAATAAACAGGTAATTCTTGCTACGCTATTGACATTTTGCAGAACTTCCATACACTTTTACTCATGGGACTGTTTGAACATATTAGTTACTCCCAGCTTTGAGCAAAACTCAACATCAGAGTCACATTTTCAACTGAGGGAGAGAAAGGGCCAGTAGTCTCTGGTGCCTCCAGCTCTCCAGGACACTGGAAATCTCATTTCTCTGCCATCTATAAATTTTTTAGTTTTAATACCACTGTGCTGTGGTGGTCCTGATTCTGAACTTGATCCAAAGTCTATGATCACAAATCAGTTTCCACCCAAGCATCGGTAATAATAAGGTGAAGGTTTATGAGTTTGTGTCTTTTAATGACATACTGCATAATGTTACTGGGTTTTCTGAATGTTGCTAGGAAATGTTAATATCAGCAAAATGCTGGTTTCTTTATAGATACATTCACTTACATCCACAAGTAAATTATATTATGTGAAACAATTTTTGAAATAGGATGCTAAAAATATATTTTAATAGCAGAGAAATATTCATGTTTGAATATGAATAAATTCTGAGGTCTCATTAACTTCAATTCATTAATCATTAATGATTCTACTGAGAATATTAAATAACACTTAAATAAATAACTCATTTAAATAAGTGGCTTATTTTGTTTCCCCTATGAATACATATCCTGGCCCTCTCTTCAATAAAATTTCAAATGGCACAGAATTTAATAGACACAAAAAGATACATCACTAGTGCTACTTTATATCAGAAGGGCCTCACAATCCTCCATAGCCCTGAATCTTAATAAATTATGAAGTTTTTTTAAGTTTAATTACACCATTTTTGAATTATGATGTTACTTTTAAACATAAATAAGAGAAAATAAAACTCTATAGAAGTGATGCCATTTTAAATAAATTAATGAGAGACTGATAGGCAGGGACTCCATCTGATTCATGTCTATACTTCTAGGACCTGGTACAGTGCCTGATACACAGGAAAAATAAATTCTCAGTTCATGCTTCCCAGATTAATAAACAAACATAATATTTTAGCTATGGTATTTAATGTTGTAGAAGACGCAAATCTGGAGAAAAGCTGATAATTTAAAGAAAATGACTGATTCTTCACAAGTCTTTTAAAAAAGCAACTACTGCATTTCATTAGTTACATGGGAACATGGTTTTTAGATTCTGTGTATGATGAAGCAACATGTAGCAGAAAGTCACGCAATGCAGATTCGGGCCTCTCTCTGATGCACTAACACACACATAAACCAGGAGGTCACCACAGAGTTTCCCCACTAAAGTCCCAAAGGAGAGAAGGTCAGCTTTACAAAATTAATTATAAATCCCGCCTCTACATTAGGTTGTCATTAAATAATTTTATCTAATTCTGCTAAATAATCCATTTTTCAGTCCTACACTGCATTAAACAGATGCATACTGACTGATTCTTAGCACTTGTTTAACCAAGAAAACACTCCTGAATCATTTTTAACTATTAATTTTTAGCCCAAAAGACAATTTAAAATTTCTTTGGGGCCAATGAACAGATTATCCTTAGACTGCCATTCGGGAATTTTTAAACTAAGCCAAAATAATAAGAAAAAATATGAAGGTATGAGTTAATAGGAATAAAACAAAACATGACTGTCAAGTTTCAAATCGTACACATATAGAAAAGATGCTTCTTGAATTTGAGGACAATGATGAAGTTCCAGAAATTCAATCTTTTTTTGGGGGGTGGTGCTTTTAAGTAAGAGGGATAAATTGCTAGAAGAAAAAGTCATGGATGCTTCTGTCAAACTTTTTTGTGCCAACATTTTAAGGTTTGGTTTGGCTTGTTGGTATAATACTCCACACTGGTGTTCATATTTTTAACACTTACGCATCAAGCACCTACCATGAGCAAGAAAAAAATAAAAGAATATACAAATTGCTTATTCAGTGGATCAGAAAATAGAAAGCAAAATAGATAATAATTACTTAAACAGAGAATGCCTAATAAACTCTGTGTGTTGCTCATATCACCTCTAGATACAGAAAATTATATTCTCGATCATGTGAGATTCCACTACTCCATGGATGCACTAGAAGGGATTTTTAAATTTCATTTAAAATATTTTCAAGGACATTTATTTCTAGAATTGAGACATCACATCATTTATATTTGACGCCTTAATGACAATACCTTGTCCACTAAAAAAAACTGTCTTTCCTTCCTGCATCATTATTACGTCTTGAATAGATCCTTTCTTTAGTATCGAGGCTTTTCAATTTTTCCTTTAATACCACTTAAGCAATGCGAATAAGTCTCCCTTTGCTGCATCTGCTGTGGTTTTCTCAGCGTCATGTTTACTTTGTATAACAAGACTGACTATCATCTTAAATAAAGCTGGAAGAAATGGCGGTACCGAAGTGATGGTTTCTATGACAATAAAATAAGGCTTTGTGGTTAAACAAAGAGAAGATTCTCAAAGAGAATTGAGGACTGACACCTTTTGTAAGAACAAATAAGACTGAACTTCTCATTCCCCAAAAACTGTGATCAAGATAATGAGAGAGCTTCGCATTTATATTAGCCATCATTCTTCCCTTTCCTTTGTCTGTTACAGTGTGAAGAGAAGGCATTTCTATTCAAGAGAGAATAAAAAGTCAAAAGTCACCCAAAAGGCACAAAGATGAGGGTGTCAGAAAGAGCACAGTCTGCAAAAAGGTCAGGTGAGGGGACACACTCACCCAAGAGGGAAGCTGCTTAGCTGTGTTCACAGGAATTTATTCTGAACCTGTCTGGAAAGCCCTGTGGGCCCAGGGAGATGACTTGACCTTCCCCCTTTTCAATTATTCCGGAAGTGTGAATGCTTCTGCCTGACACACAAGAAATAACCCCGGCGACCTAAAGAATGGCCAGCGGCACACAGCCTTTTCTGAAATGTTCCGTGTACACAGAAAGTGTCTGCATGTAGCACTCAGCTACATCATCGCCTTCAAATTTATTTTAAGAAAGAAAAAAATAAATTCCTCCTATTACCTAGACCGTGGAGAGATAATTGCACAGACTCTGCTTCTGTGCTTGCCATTTGCCAACAGGCTGATTGCCACTTTAATAAACAATAGAATCCGTCCTTTAGAATTCATTCTTAGTTGATTAAAAAAACCATATATTTTGCATTTTCATGTTCTAGGGCTTAGGAAAGAAAGTAAGTTAGAGTCCCAACCTTCAAGGAACTCCTGGTCTAATTTTACACATGTACTAAAACACATCATGTTCTTTATTAGCAGTAAAATAAGTGATAATTTAAACACCATGATTAAAATATAATGATATTTGAGAGAACCACAGGGCTAGCCAGTTAGCTCCTTGAGGGCAATCAGCATGTCTTTTACTTCTGTATCTTAAAGGGCAAATATTTAGAATTCCGTAATAGAAGAAACTACACAACTGAGCCATGCTGCTGACTACCCCTGATATTAGCAACACAAAACATGTATCTCCATTCCTGTACTTACAGCTGCCAAATTTCAGAGGGCATGAATGAGCATCCATAGGAAAATCCTCCAAGTGCATTGGACATTCAGCTTGAACTGTAAGCCTAAAAGTCAAAAGTCCACTCTTTGTTTAAGTAAATTGGCAAGTCAAGAAAAATCACTTGTCATTATTGTCAATGGGCACTGCATCTGACTGTATTGCAAGATTCAGAGAGAGGCAGAATGAATAGCCACGCTTCGGTTTTAGGCAATGGCCATTTAGTATTAAGTCCTTAAGATATTTTTCTTTAAATATTATAAATAGCATTATTGCATAATTCATTAGCTTTATTGCATATTTCAATAGCATTATTGTATGTAAATAGTATTACTGTCCCTTCTTAAATAACTTTCATAACTGAAATCCAGCACTTATCTTATGAATATCCTATTGATAACATAATGATAATTAGGGTAACATAAGGATAATGACAATTATCCTATTGATAACATATCAAATACCTGGAATACATTTATCTATCTATATATAATGCTGATGACAGTTACCCATGCCTTAAATCTTTTATTAAACAATTCAACTTTGGATTCTGCATCACTTTACTAGATTTGTGATTTTTTTTTTCTTACATAGTACAGGTGACTTATTTTGCATGATTAATTCATGAGCATAGTTAAAATGCAATAGTTGTTAGGATCAACACCTGGTTATTTCTTTAGATAATTTCATTAGAGTTGAGTCAAATGAAACGAATGCTGTATGATAATTTTCATTTACAAAATTGGAATTTTATATGACTCAATCTAAAACATGTTTATAGTATCCAATCTACTTGTCTTATTAAATAAAGCCTATATCTCTGATTTTTAAACACATTTTTCTTTAGAGTAACTTCATAAGGAGGATTAAAATACATTTAAGTAAAACCCTGCTTAAAATCACTTAAAATTGT